AGACGCAAACTGAGGACCGCCGTCCGTTGAAATGACCTGTGGTACGCCTACATCTGGGAACCACCTGCGGAAATGACGAATGACGTCAGCTGACGTGGCTGAGTGACCAAGCTTGGCTATGCATGGCCATCCGGTTAAGCGGTCGACGAATACCAAATACTCGCAACCTTGGCAACTGAAAAGGTCAGCACTAACACTTTCGAATGGCAAAGTGGGCTTGCGGTCAGAAATGGGCGGTTCGGCAGACTGAGACGGCTGAAATTCACGGCATGCATCACAGCTGCGGACTAGCGTGTCTAACTCACTGTTCATTCCGGGCCAATACACTGTCTGACGAGCACGTCGTTTGGTACGGGTCAGACCTTGGTGGGCTGCGTGAAGGTCGATCAGCGTTGACGCACGCAGAGAGGCTGGGACGACTATGCGTAGACCTTTCAGGACTATGCCATTGTCGGTGGACAAATGTTCACGCACGTTCCAATACGCACGAAGAGGCTCGGGCAGCTGCTTTTGTGCTGAGGGAAATCCGTTCTGGATATACCTGAGTAGCATCTGGTAGTCAGGATCAGATGCTGCTGCGGCACGGAGCTTAGCGAACCGGAGACTCTGGGGACCATCTTGGAGTAGACAGATACGGATACTGCGGCAGGACAGTGCTGGATCTTCTCCAAGTTCATCATCACTAGTCGGGATTGATACAGGATGTCGTGAGAGGGCGTCAGCGAATACGTGCTCTGAACCCTTACGCCACGATGCTTTCACTTGATACGGACGAAGTTTCATGATCAATCGGAGTAGACGAGAGTTCTCAATCTGGTCAAGGGTGTAGCTGTTGATAATCGGTACAAGCGGACGATGGTCGGTGATTAGTGAGAACTGTGCACCAGATAGATACAAGCGGCACTTGTGCACTGCCCAGACGACTGCGAGGCACTCGAGCTCGATTACAGCGTACCTTGTTTCAGCGTCAGATAAGAAACGACTTCCACACTGGATGAGGTGCCATTTCTGGTCATCATGCTGTTGCCATAGGGCAAATCCGAGGCCATTCTTCACAGATGCATCAGTCTCGAGACGGAGAGGCTTGCCAGGCTGGAAGAAAGCTAACACTGGTGACTCAGTCAGGATGGCTTTGACGGCTTCGAATGCTATGGTGTGCTGCTGATCCCAGGCGAACTCATTGCTGGTTTTCAGGAGTGGGCGAAGCGGCTCACTTAGTTCAGCAATGCGCGGTGTGAAGTCGCTGCATTGGTTGACCAAACCGAAGAATGAGCGGAGGTCAGTGCGGTTGCAGGGCACTTCGAACTGGCGAATGGCAGATGTCTTGCTACCATCAACGGCATAACCATCAGCATTGATGACGAATCCGCAGAACTGTACTTCACTAGCGCCGAATACAAACTTGTGTGGGCTGAGCGTAATGTGATGCTCACGGGCACGGTGAAGGACGTCACGAACGTGGGTGATGTGGTCTTGAAAATCGACGTCATGTACTAGGCCGTCATCAACGACTTTGACGAAGTTAGCGAGGCGGTCAAATGCTGCGTCTGTGCGGCAGTTGAATTCGTCACCTGCTGAGGACAGACCTTGAGGGTTGCGGCAATAGCGATACCGACCCCAGGGCGTGATGAATGTCGTGAGCGGCTTCGAGTCGTCGGACAGGGATATTTGCCAGTACCCATGACGAGCGTCGAGTGTGGTGAAGAAACGGGCTTTACCAATAGCTGTCACGGCGTCACGCGGAGTACGAGCTGGGTGTGTTGGTCGGCAGACTTGGTCGTTGAGTTTACGCAAATCAACGGTGAGGCGCTTCTCGTTAGAAGACTTCTTATCTGCGATGACGATCGGGTGGCACCAGTCTGACGGTTCAGTGACTGGCTCAATAATTCCATTGATCACCATATCGTCCAGTTGAGATTTTATCTGGTCTCGGAATGCGAATGGGATTGCGCGGGCACCATTAACACGAGTTGGTGTGGCGTCAGATTGAAGCTTTATCTCCATGGGAGGACCAGCCATGGGCTTCAATTGGGAGTCGTCGAATACATCAGCAAACTCTTGCATCAGCTGAGCCTTAACATCAGCAATGTCTGCACTACTGGGTTCGGACTTCACACGGGAGATCCGCGGCCAGGACTCAGGGAGAATGCCAAGAGCACGGAGAGATTGGCATGACAGCAACGCCTCATCGAGGTCTTCATACACATGAAGTACCGTGGTGTGCTGGGCTGAGCCAATGGAGAGCGTGGCAGAAATCTTTCCCAGGCTAACCAGAGAGGTGCCGTTTGCTGCTGAAACAGTGTCGGAATCGACGGCAAGGTTCTCAGGGAAGCCACCTAGCTGGGAAAGATGTGCTGGCCCAATGGCGTCAACATCACTGCCGGTGTCTGGAATCCATGTCATGGCTTCGGCGGCTGGTTCTGTGTTGAGCTGCGTGTGGACACTGAGTTCTAGACCATGTCGAACAGAGGCACGTTGCAACTTAAGTTGGCCGACTTTGCCGGATGCTGTTGGTTTGCCTTTGTGCGGGCACATGGACTGGAAATGTCCGACACGTTGACATCCGTTACATTTGCGTGACTTCGCAGGACATGTGCCTTTGGTGTGGGGACTGCGACCACAGCTGGGACACTTGTCACCTGCGGGCTTGTCTGGTGTGGACTTCACGGGAGCGGGACGGCTCGCCTTCTGCTGTTTATAAGATGATTTCTTAGCTGCGTGCACGTGACCACTGGAGGGAATGCCAGAGGAAGTTTGGCAGGCTGCTTCCTCAGCACGGCAGAGCTTCACGGTTGCCTCCAGATCCAAGTTCTGGAGGGCCAGCAGCTTGTGACGCACGTCGTCCTCAAATACGCCTGTCACAATGCGGTCACGTAGTATGTCGTTGTTGAATTTCAACAGGCCTGCCTTGCAGGGGTTGCACATCGCCTGGTTGCAGTTATGACATACTGAACACCCAGAAAAGTCACACGCGTGAAACAGTTCACGGAGGGCCGTATAAAAGGAGTCAAATGATTCCCCACGCTGCTGCCGTCTCTTGTAAAATTCGATTCGGTCGAGCAGCGGGTTCCTCTGCCGCCGGATGTACTGCTGGAGGACCGGGATGGCATCAGCAATGTCAGCGTCTTCCGGGAAGGCGATAATGCCTTCTCGGATGAAACGGCGCAGGTCCTCATCTAGGGCCTGGCGGAACGCTGACATACGTGTATGGCGGTCGTGGCTGGCGAGACATTGGCATTGCGCATAGTCACGCCAGGCCTCCTCCCAAGCGGTAAATTCTGCCATTGTGGCAGTAGATAACAATACTGGTCGTTCTGCGGACACAGACTTGGGTGCGGGTGGGGTTGTAGAACTAGTACTGGTCTGGTTGGACATCCTTTCCATCAGGGTCTGAAACTGCTGGTCTCGCAGTGCAGACGCCTGTGCCTGAGTTGTCAGGAGCTGCAGGAGCGTGGCGACGTCAGGCACTCCATTACCAGAAGGTGCTGCGGGATCGCTGCTCGCCATGCTGATCACAAATGCTCGTTGTGACAGCTCACACGACTACGTCCTACGAAATAAATTGAACAACACTCCTATCTAAAACGAACTAACAAACTAACTGCAGGGTAATCTAATCCAAATCCAACGGAGTGCTACACTGCTACTGGGCCAGGTAAGACACTACAAACTAGGTTGGTGTGGACAGAATGGAAACTACAGGACGAAATGTTCACTGCGCCATGTGGTGTCAGACAGAGTTTATTCACAACTAGCAAGGAGGACAACAAACGAAGAACAACATTCCAAGCAGTGTGCGAACACAAAAGGGAAGTGTGTACGAACACCAAGGAAAGTGTGTACGAGCGCATATGGAAGCAGGAGCTCTAGGCGGGTGCATACGGGGTGCGGGAGTTGCACCATATACGGAAGTATGCCATATACATCAACGTATTGGTTATTTCTAGTTACCTGACTGCTGGCCCAACATCGACGTTTTAATAAACACTGGGAGACGAATTCTTTTTAAAGAATTTCATCATTTAAAATCTTGTAGGACGCATCACGCAGCTTCATAAGTAAAAAATTGGTTGTGAGCAACACTGGCTCACACTCAAATCCCTGCTTTTCACCATTGGTGAAAAGCAGGGATTAGAATTTCATCAGTTTGTTCTATCTTCTTCCTAGAAACCACTCTGGAAGATTTTTGTTTACAATGATCACAGCTCACAGGCACAGACAAAAAATTGCAGAGTTGGAGCATAGTGATGGTGAAGTGTTTTCCCTCAGCCGACCTGAGGTCTCGTCAAAACATTTCTACTAGTACAGTAGTGCATGTAGGGAGTAGAGGATCACGAAGACACCAACCAGGGGAGGCACACACTAGCTGGCCAGTGAGAGAGTAATGGCCAGTGTTTGTGTTGGCACTCGATGTAGGTAGAGAAACTGACTGTGAACATGTGCTAATGTTACATCTATTATATCGCTGATGCAATGATCTTTGTTTGTATTGTGTGCTGCAGATCATTTGGCTGGTGATATTTCGTTAGTGACACGACGCTTTAACTCTAGGGATGCAAGAAGTTCTATCGCACCATGTACACACAGACACAGCACGATACACACGCGCGCACACACGCACACACACACACACACACACACACACACACACACACACACACACACACACACACACATACACACACATTCCTCGCGACACCTCCACCACGATGTCCAGCGTTTACTTCACTGTACACTCTCTAACGTGCATTGCCTTTCGGAGACGAATTGCAGGCTATTTTTTGGCGCATTGTGCCGTCTTCCTTGAGCCACATCTACTACAGTCGGTCATACATGTTCGCGACAGGCGGTCAGCCTATGCAGAAATGTATAAACTGACAACACACTCTTCTAACCGACAAGCCACTGCTCGGACCGCAGCGCTCAAAACTATAACTAGCGAAATACTGATTAAATCGAAACTGCAACGCGTACAACATCCGGTTACTCAGTTCCCTCACCTTGTTCAACGGGATCCTGTCGTGTTGGTCTTCAAAGTGAGCGGCACATCCACACAGCTACTCAGGGGCACGGAGGTATTCAGCAAAGCAGGGAAGACGGGAGAGAGAGAGAGAGAGAGTGGGCTCGCCGAACCAGTGATTGCAGTCAGACAGGGAGCTGGCTAAAACGCTCTTCAAGCTTTTCTGGGCCCAAGAAGAATGCACCCTTCAAGGCTTCAGCAACGCGTCCTAGCTCTACCCTGCAGAAGCGCTGGCCGAGTGCTAATGGTTCACCTATGCATGAGAGGTTTGGGGCTGACAATGACATCATGTGTGACGTTACAGAAGAGACGGCAGTGCTGACAGCAGCAGCAGCAAGCATATCGCTTCTCACAGTGCAATAGTCCATATCCAGTGCTAGCTCACACTCGTGCAGGTGAAGTGACTGCCTACACCGAATCGAATGGCCAATGATAAACATGTATGTCAAGTGAGTGTGTGTGTGAGTGTGTGTGATTCCAGTGCCACGGTCAAACTGCTATGCATGGTCCAGGGGCAGGGATCCCCTACACATACCGGCATGTGTACAGTGTAGGGATCCCTGGTATGGTATTGTGTGCTGGTCTGAAGTGACGTCTCACCATACATGTAGTTGAAAAGACTCAGGTCCAGGCAATATCAACTCAACATGTACATGTACAGTGCTACTCACTGAATCACTGAATCACTGCTGCATAGCACCCTTCTTCGTACCTCTAGCTCTGCCCCTGCAGGCCCTGGATGCTGGACCGGTGGGCGAGAGAAACCTGGGGAAAATCGCTCACTGAATATGGTGCGGTGATGATGAGACGACGTCAACACTGAGACTCGTTGGTATGGCTGAACACGGCATGGTGGTGACTCTGGTGAGTGACTGGGTTCATGTACATGTATAGTAGTACAATGAAACCTTTCCAAAACGGCCGCAAAGAAGGGACCTAGCTAGTACCTCACAACTAGTTATAACTGTGGTCCCCGTGTACAGGAAATGACATCCCTTGCCATGGTCCTGATTGTTGTAGTGGTCCTCTTGCACAGGTGGTCGCCATGATGAGCGTGGTCGCCCTGACAGGTACAGTGTACGATGACTATGTATGACTGGCTACCATGGATATGCGGCCTGCACGTCATGACGTCAGCGGATGCAGAGTTATCATATCTATCATAATATAGGCAGAATTAGAATACATGTGGAGCCGGAGAAGCTTTTATCACGAGGCAACAGCGTGGACTACAGACAGTAGAGCGTGCACGGGATCCCCCGGCGCCGCGGCCCCGGGATCCTATCTGCCCGTGCCCAGTGCATGCAGTGCAGTGCCGACTACTAATTCTAGTATTAGTAGTAATACTATCGCATGTCAAGCCGCAAGGTCACGTGCAATATCTTGCCTAGACAGTCAGCACCGCACCCGTACATGTTGGTCCAGGGAGTCGTATAACTATAACGAAGTCGTTCTCCCTGATTTGGTCGCTATGTTGCCTTGTTGGTGTTGCCATGATGGTTTGCTGGTAGCTGTGATACGGACGGTGTTAAAGACTCTTGACCCTGCGATAACACAATGGAGGACGAAGATAGGGATATCTACTCAGGGACATTGCATGCTTATCACCAGAGAGTCGCACAACACCGGGTATTTACGACTCTTTGCTTTGACCACCGACCCTGTCGCTGTCCACCTGAGTAAGGTGCTGTAAGGTTGATCACATGCGCACGCAGCAGCGGAGTCTTCACGAATAGAAACGGTGCTCTCCGCGTCGCCGACGAGCTTTCTTCCAGTTCCGCTGCACTGGTGTCCAAGCAGTAGACAAAAGACATGCATGCGAGGTAACTGCATGTGTTACTTGCATAGTGAGGGCCGGGGGGGGGGGGATTTAAAGTCACGAGCGGGCAAACTACTCCCTGGTAACTGACCCTCGGCACCTGCGACGGCCTTCCGACAACCGCGGCACCCAAACTGGGCGCTGAGTAGAAGAAAACAAACAGTTATCTGAGTGAACTGACGTCACTTCCACACAGTGCGCTAGTGATCGTGAGCACTGAGCAGCAGGGAGCACAATCATGTGCACAGCCACAGAGCACCGGACAGTTCCCCAGTTCTACTACTAGCACGTGACTGCAACGCACAGAAAAAAGTATGCATGAGCTCACCGGGCCTGGGAACGACACACGTGCATCATTGCGTGAGAGCACTGTGTGTGACTAACTCTCCAGAAACACTGCAATGGCCGGCCTTTATCTCACCTACGGACGGTATTTTGCTCACGTAGCGTTGTCCTCCTGGTGCATGTCTCCGCTCCTTCATGCATGGGGCCGGCCAGCCGCACGGTGATCACACTTCACTTCATTATCAGAATTTTTCTATCGTTTTACGGTAGGAAATAGTGGTAGCGACTTCGGCGATGATTTGTTAAGCCTGGTTCACACTAGGCCGATTTTCCGGCCGACATGGACTCGTACGAAAAATCCTCAAGATCGGGGCGAAAATTGCGTAGTGTGAACTGTGTTGTCGTACAGGGTTCCGACAAATCTGCGGCGATTTTCTTGTCGCACTAGTTTTCGGCCAAGTATCGACTGGTCGATATTTAGGCGAAAAGCCGGCCGATTTTTACTGCTTGCACGTGATGGAGCGGGATTCGGACCAATCACGGTAGGCTTTTCACCATGACAGCAAAGAGCGTCGATGTCGAGCTCATGACCTCTTGTACTTTTGTACTTTTGTACTCTTGATGAAATGTAAAGTCCTACCAAAATTTCATAACCCCCATGAACTCTTGCTTTTATGGATAATCGATGCGACTCTATTGCGAGTGAGTCGTTCCCCGTGTGTGAACAGGCCGTCCGACTTAGTCGACACAGTCGGCAGACTCCATGTCGGAGTCGGTGTCGGAGCACCGGCCGGAAAATCGGCCTAGTGTGAACCAGGCTTTAGGAAAGGGTTTCAAAGCAAAAAAATCGGCTCACCACGCTGGAGCTCGCGCTTTCCCGCCGACTTGACTTGACACTTGAGTCAGTGCCTAGCTTCTAATGTTGAGACGACTTTCCCTGATGAGTGTGTCATGAAAATCGATTAGGAAAACTTTCATGTACATGCGGATTCACAATATTCTTGTTTGTTCTCACAATGCCCGCCTCATTTGGTTTTCAATTTTTCACCCACACGTAAACAGGAACTAACTTTACTTGGCCCGATAATCGAAAGGCGAATGCAGACACAGGCACACAAGGCGGTACATCAATATAAGACAGCAGAATGGAAGAAAAAGGAAGGTGGGGTGTGCACAATGACACACAGCTCCACATGCATTATTTTGAATAGGGTAATAGTCTAATACGACGCATCCAAAGACTTTAAGTCGACTATATGTACATGACACTTCTTTTTTTCTATAATAATATTCGCGGGATCCGCGTCGGCATCGCTTGAATGTTCAGAAACACACAAACTAGCCTTCGCATCCGCAGGCCACCACTATGTCTGTTAACCTTAGTGGCGAGTGCAGACCTCACAAGTGAGTCAGGGGAGAGGAGGTTAGTCTCTCAACCAATCGGGCGTGTAACGGCCCATAACCCTGTAAACTGCATCCTTGTTATTCTCACTCCGAGCTGTGAGTACCCAGTTGACCGTGGGTGTCGGCGCAGTTCAACACGAGTAAAATCTTTTTTTCTATGCTATCTGTAATTCTGTCTGTACCCACAGATTCGCAAGTCTGTCCAAGATTCTATGGATTGGACAGACTTGCGAATCTGTGGGTAGGTCTACGTAATGCGACCTGAGAAATCCTGCAGACACTCGCTAGAGGTAAACAAAGAATTATTACTCGCTAGAGGACCGTGCTGGAAGTAACTAGACATGGATAGCATTTTACCGTTCACGCTATTTCGACGGTCGGCGTGTAGAGGGCGAGTCTACTGTTTTGGATGTGTTTTCGAGACACGGTTAGCAGTTCGGCTTCTGAGTCCTGACTCCTGACGCAACGATAGACTTGTGAGGTAACCCCAGTTGGAATCTTACCGTTTCGTTCTCCCGCTAAACAGAGCTTTCTATCGTCGAAACGGTACCAAACCGACGGTATTTTGGGTGTTGTGTACGAGTACCCTTGAATCTAGCGCATGATCTGTAAAATGCCATGTCTACACACACAAAAAACGGTACAGGCCGACCGTCGAAAATAGCGTGAACGGTAAAATGCTAACCATGGCTAATATTCGTTGCGTCGCGGAGGCACGGGCGCGAACTATCACTACGCTGTGCTGGGTTCCACACCAGTACTCGGCAGTAGAAGAGCCGCTAGACTCCCGCCAAGGGGAGCAGTCAGCACACAGTGGCATGCTCTAGGGTCTTAGAGGTCCTGAGGAGTATGCTCTAGAACAGTTTCTTAGTCGGTCAAGTACGGGCGTTGCTTTCCTCGTTTTCTCGCACTGAATCATACCATGAACTCATCAGCCGTTGCCTCTTCCTTCCAGTACATCGCTAATGCATACATAGCAGACTTAGAAGCGGACGTTCAGCTCTCAGGTTCATTGTGAATACCAGGCAATCAGGGGGGCGGATGTAGAGGGGGGGGGGGGGGGGGGAGGGAGTTCCGGCGGTTAGCTATCGCATATGTGCTACTGGAAGCCCATGTACATGTATCAGCCATTCAGGTTTGGCTACGCTGGACCCCCTCCCCCCCCCCCGCCCGCCCTCGGGAGAGATGTGTGGATCCGCGCAGGCAATCATCGGTCACCATGGTCACTGTTGTTATCAGTTGTCTGGGTATTGGGTTGCGGCATGAAAACAACTGGGAGTTACACTGATTGTGACCTGAACTAACTTCCTCTGCTCAGTCTCTCATGCTCTACATTGTGTAAGTGTAAGCTCCGTCTATGACGTCATTGAGCACTCTGTGCAGCTGGGGGGATCTACGGATGGTCTTGGTCCGAGGAAGCTGAGACGCTCCTTAAGGCTTTCCTCCTTTATTCCCAATCAAACTCGCCACTTCCACCGAAAAACTGGGTGACTGCGCCCAACTAGATGGGGATTTGTATGCAAAATGTCACTAAAAGCGCCATTTCGTTCTTATAAAAGCACGAACAACCGCAATTGGCCCAAAGTTGAAGTCTTTTGGACGCTGCGTCGACTGGTTTGGGTCCGAGAAGGCTGCAATGCCGTGTCCGGCCCTTATTCCCAATCGAACATGGTTGAATAGGTGGTCACGTGCTCATGCGTACGCCAGTCACCTGGTCACCATGCCTGCAGGCTACAACTCCCTTTGAACTTTCACACCAAGGTTCAACTCGAGTGACAGGAACGCGCCCAAACAGGCTGTAAGGGCCGATTCCCACTACGGTACCGTGAGTGCCGTGCCGACGATTTGGGTAGGTCACGTGTACCCCACGGTACGAGCTTGAAGCTGAGAGTGATTTACACCTGCGCACAATCATTCCGTGCATTCCGTCGGCAGGCCGGATCACCATTTTTTTAAATCAATTTCTGACTTTGGTCCTGAGGGAAAATAGCAGGGGCCGGGGAGATGACTGGAGAAAGCTCAAGAATCAACCAATCGAAAAGCCAAAAGCCAAGAAAAAACTTCGTACCGGTTATACCACAAATACAAAAGAAAGCAAAAAACTTCCTTTCAGGGAGTAGTAAAATACCTACTACTCACTGCATTTGACCTCGCGGAATACCACGGCATGCCATTTCCACCCCCCAGAGGCCCTCGGCACCGGAATGTCCACGGCGCGGTACGGCAGGAGCCACTGAATGAACTCGCGCCAAAACTGCCCCTCACGTGAGCAAATCACCATGGGTACTCACGGCACGGCACTCACGGTACCGTAGTGGGAATCGGCCCTAAGTGGTACCCTGCAGGCATCCTGGTGACCAGGTGACAGGTTTATCTACTCGGCACTGTGCTACAACCTGCCGATTTGCCTGGCAATATCAAAAGCACAAAAAAGCACCAAAGGCAACAGTGACCTTGAAAGCTTGTAATAATAACATCAAGAATCAAAAATCAAGGCGATTTGCAGGTAAAAAGATTCGAGATCCACACTAACATGAACCGGATGACAAAATGCATGTATCATGGTTGAACAAATAGATGTTTTGAGTCTATAACCAACTCTTGAGTAGGCTGGTGGCGGCGGTCATGAACACGAGAGCTAACGAGGAACTTTGTCCGACAGTGTCCGCTCCGCTAAGTGCACCCATTGCCTTGAAGTAGCCGATCGGAGAGTCAAAACCGGAATTCGCAGACACGTTTACACGATTGCCTTCGTCTTGATCTCCTGATTGTTCCAGAGGCTGTCCGTCCTGCAACAATGAAAATCAGAAGAAGTCCAGTTTGAACAACAAATATCCACAATTACGCCCTGCCTCACATTCTGATGCTGGCAACCACAAATCGAGTCAATACAAATATAGCTTTCGGCACACCCGCACTCGGCATTTGCTAAAATGCAAGAACCGTCCGTTGCCTGGGGTCCCTCTGTATAAATATCTTCATTATTAATTTTCAATGACCTCCCCTCAACGTTACGCCCAGTTGTGACTAGAACATCCCCCAACTCCAAACACCTTGCAAACACCAAAGAATAATTTCATAACCGCAATCAATAGAACTAGCTGAACCGACATTAGGGTAATAGTCGAACCCAATTATACCCAATTATGGGTTGAAATTGTTCAAGTAACGTGTCGTGTTTAGTGCGGCCAAGCTCGGCCGTTAATGCTCTAGGTGTAATGTACTGCTGTTATGTGTTATCACGTTGTCTTTCCTTCCTTTCTCCTTTGTTCATTTCTCGCTTTGATTGTTAAAATTCACACTTGTAAATTTCACTGCTGTTGCTCTTAGTGTTATTTCTCTAACTTAGATTTTCTATAATAGTTCAATTTTTGTTTCAGTGTCCTTTAGTACAACGACGATTCCTGATGAGTGTTGTACGAAAACTTGTTTGAATCCATATTTTTTCCCTACACCATTTCTTCATATTTTCATCGTTTCATTGCACATCGTCTCCACCGTTTTTACATTGCATGAATAAAGTACACAAATGTCGGTTCAGCTAGTTCTATTGATTGCGGTTATCAAATTATTGTCTCCTCGCCGTGCGTTCGAATAATTTCACGTGTGCATTAGGAACTCGGATGGTGAGCCAAGGAAAAATTGTAACATGGAAAATGTGGGCACAAGTTATGCGATCGAGTCCACCAACTGAACCAGATTTTGAACAGTCAGTCCATGAAGCCTTGGACATATTTGCCAACCATACCGACATGGATTTGGCCAACTGCAGCTAAAGCACTGCAGATAACGGTATTCTCAATCCAGATGGGGACATCAAAGATATGGAGTTGTAGTTGTTTGGTGAATGCAGAGCGTACAGAGAAATGGCCGTCGCTGATAAAAATTGAGAGGCTGCACCATGTTTTCCGGGTAAACCACCTGAAAACAAGGGTAATTACCGGCATACCAGGGATTTTTGACTTTGATCGAAAAACTACCGGTGTTGGCACTGAACCATGAGTGTTCCAAAAAAGTTTGTTATGTGGTGTGACAAGGGCGCATGCGGCCCTGCATTTCACAGAATCACACATGTAGGGGCGATCTGACAGTACTCGTAGTAAAAGAAACTCAGGTTTTGGTGCCCCGATGAGCAATGGGTGAGAAATGAATAAGAATTGCGCAAAAATTACGCAAAATACTAAAACAATTGCCCAAAAAAGAGAAAATGGCTGAAATTGGCGGCGAAAACCAGCAAAATAAGGGAAGTGAGAGAGAATCAAGGGAAACTGGGTGCGTGACAAAGGGATTTGCTTTGGCTGGGTTGGCAAGTATGCTTGGAATGTAGCTTGTGCTCGGGTCGATGGTGCTTACCTTCCCCGCTTTGGAATTAGCACTATTATCCATGAACCTTCCACTTTGGAACGCCGTTGGTTAGCGCAATCGAGCAGTGCTCAAGCTGACGTTCATGCCGTGGAATGTCTCAGTACTCCCTGTCAGTTTTGTGCTAGATTGTGCACGTCTGACTGTTCAAAATCTGATTTAGTTGGTGGACTCGATCGCATGCCTTGTGCCCACATTTTCCCACGGTACAATAATTTCATCATTATTTGTTGACATGCGTTTGTAGTGTGTCTGTCGAGATGACCTCATTGCCCCTTACCCTGAAAGTGATGCGAGGACATTGCAAACAGTACTGAGACCTATCGCACATCTATCACATCACCATACAGGACAACCATGTTGGTTCCAACTCCTCTGAATCCCTGCATCACTGGGTCACGCGACGTGGCGGCCATGTTGGTTGCGCTGTCCACAGGCAGTGTACACTCGCTTTCCACGCTCAGTGTAGTCACATGACTGCCGAGATCCGCAACACTACTCGACTCAGAGAAATCATGCGGACAAGCATGTACAGTTGCGCTCACTGAAATGAGTGAAATACAGTCAAACCTGGTTTGGACGAACTTCAAGCGAACTGAACTAGTTTGTTTGTCTTATCCGGAGTTCTGCTTATCCAGATCTGACAAAAAAAAAATGATACCGGTATGCGTGCCATATGGATTGTATTTATGTGAAGGTGCATGCTGTGGCACATGTAAAGCATTTATTCATAGCATAACCCAGCAACAGGTAAGTACAATGTGCAATGAATTCATGACAGCATGTCCTCTGCCTTAAAGCATGCTGTCCATTCATTTCGCCCGTCCAAGAGGCATTGACCATCGGAAAAAACTACAGACAGCGCACACACGTGGACCGAAAGTTCGCACTACACGCTGTTTTATTCAAATTACGCCTGAAATTAGTTCGTCTTCACGAAAGTTCGCTATACAAGAGTTTGTCGTAAACGAATAATTTGACCTGATATTAATGCCTGGCCAACCATAGGATGGCGGATGGCGGTTACTCGGGCACATTCTACGCCAACCAATCGGCACACCAGGGAACCAAGCAATGATGGCATACCTCACTGCAGAGGGAACAACTAAACACAGGAAGGGAGCACCTCGGTCCTGCCTGGTAACCACCCTTCAGCGAGACCGCAAGCAAACTGCAGTTGCGCTGAAGACGAATCGACACCTAGACACGCTCCGGGACTTTGCGGCCGATCGAACGAGATGGGGCAACATCTGCTCGGCCATCACATGAACATATGGACTGGCTTACGTGTGTGGACGGTGCTTGTGCTCACTACTATATCAGGGTCTACAGGCATCCGAAGCACTGATTGTATCTGTATTATTTTGTACTCAATGTATGCAACACTATTATCTCCACATCACCGTGTTTTTATTTTTGTTTATGTTTTTTCACTCCATTGTCGTGAGTTCCCCTTGGGAACGGATACGAGAATAATAATAATAATAATAATAATAATAATAATAATAATAACCATAGGATTGGGCCTAGTTCGTACTAATGGAAAGTTCGCATTATCAGTGTTTGTCCTAACGAGGTTTGAGTGTACAACCCGAAATGCAAAACTGATGCCCTGGACACGTTCCGATTACATCACTGCACTGGTACTTGTGTACATCCAGCCGCATTCGTGCTATTGCCAAGGCAACAGGGGCCGCCGTGCAAGCTGCGGGCAGCAAATATGCACTTCGGGTAAGATCTCACCGAGCACAACCACAATTGTCGGCAAAGCAGCTCTGGCTCATAGACATAAGCAGCTGACGCACTACTATATAGCAGGAAATGTTCGGACGGAATTTATTTTCGTACAATTTCGTACACGGCCTATTTTACTACAGTCAAATCTGTTGTAAGCGACCGCCCCTTGGTGCAAGAAAAAGCGGTCTCTTACGGCAGATGTATGGTAAATCCGGCATACAGGGCATGCATATATGCTTCCATGTACTCAAAAACACGGCAGTAGATCGACATTGCCTGGACTTGAGAGCTACAGCGCAGCCTCAGTACAGGCCAGGGCCAGTCGATCGCACTTGCAGGACAGCGCATTTTCACACCTTTCAGTTGACAGTTTCGCACCTGATTGGACGTGGGTCGCGGTCGCTTACAGCAGATTTGAATGCAGCCACCGTGCATGAAATCGCGGTCGCTGGTCACGCACAGCAGATGGTCGCTCTGGACAGATCAGTTTGTATGTGAAACCGTCGGTGCACGGAAAATCGGTCTCTAATGGTAGATGGTCGCCTACAGCAGAGGTCGCTAACGGCAGATTTGACTGTAGTACTAAAGTTAATTCCGTACTAAAATTTGTTCATGTGAAATTATGTACACTGTACATGCGTACTGCTAGCGAACACGCGTATTTAGCATGCAGCACTGTACGAAAATATAATCCGTTCGAAAGGTCGAAATTCGGATTTGTCCGAAAATATTTCCGTCCGAAAATCTCCTGCTATACAGTATTATGAAGGCTCTCAAGTGCAAAGTGCAGTTTTCTTTTCTTTTCTCTCTGCCCTCCCTCTCTGCCCTCCCTCTCTGTATCATCCATTCTGCCATGGTTGGCAGCTGATCGGCACTATTATCAAACCTCTCAACTGGTACTCACCGGGAAGATCAGCTGGGACGTGTTAGTTGCGTTGAGCGAGTCTCCCTCCCAACCACCGCTGCCGTCAGTTGCATTTTCAACAGACGGGTCTGCTTCAGATGACTGGACGGTTGACGCATTCTGGCCTGTTGTTAGCGGCTGGATTGTTGTGGGAGCTGGGGTTGTCGTTGTTGCAGTGGCGGTTGTTGTTGGAGCTGGGGTAGTTGCAGGTGCTGGGGCTGTTGTGGTTGGAGCTGGGGTTGTTGTGGTTGGAGCTGGGGTTGTTGTGGCTGGAGCTGGGGTTGTTGTAGCTTGAGCTGGGGTTGTAGCTGGAGCTGGGGTTGTTGTGGCTGGAGCTGGGGTTGTTGTAGCTGGAGCTGGGGTTGTAGCTGGAGCTGGGGTTGTTGTGGCTGGAGCTGGGGTTGTTGTGGCTGGCGCTGGGGTTGTTGTGGCTGGAGCTGGGGTTGTTGTAGCTGGAGCTGGGGTTGTTGTGGCGGGAGCTGGGGTTGTTGTGGCTGGAGCTGGGGTTGTTGTAGCTGGAGCTGGGGTTGTAGCTGGAGCTGGGGTTGTTGTGGTTGGAGCTGGGGTTGTTGTGGCTGGAGCTGGGGTTGTTGTGGCTGGAGCTGGGGTTGTTGCGGCTGAAGCTGGGGTTGTTGTGGCTGGAGCTGGGGTTGTTGTGGCTGAAGCTGGGGTTGTTGTAGCTTGAGCTGGGGTTGTTGTGGCTGGAGCTGGGGTTGTTGTGGCTGAAGCTGGGGTTGTTGTGGCTGGAGCTGGGGCTGTTGTGGCTGGAGCTGGGGCTGTTGTGGCTGGAGCTGGGGCTGTTGTGGTTGGAGCTGGGGCTGTTGTGGACGGAGCTGGGGCTGTTGTGGATGGAGCTGGGGCTGTTGTGTCTGGGGCAGGAGCTGTCGTGGCTGGAGCTGGGGCTGTTGTGGCTGGAGCTGGGGCTGTCGTGGCTTGAGCTGGAGTTGTTGAGGCTGCAGCTGGGGCTGTTGTGGCTGCAGCTGGGGCTGTCGTGGCTTGAGCTGGAGCTGTTGAGGCTGGGGCTGGGGCTGTTGTGGCTGCAGCTGGGGCTTCTGTGGCTGGGGCTGGGGCTGTTGTGGCTGGAGCTGGGGCTGTTGAGGCTGGAGCTGGCGCTGTTGTGGTTGGAGCTGGGGCTGTTGTGGCTGGAGCTGGGGCTGTTGTTGATGCTTGGTCTGCTGGTGTTGCTTGGGCCGTGGGCGACACTGGGACTGTTCTTGATGCCTGAGCGGTTGATGCTGCCTCCTTAGCTCCATCAGATATAATCTCAACTGGTGTTTGATGTGACTGGGTGGTGGACGGTGTAGGAGAGGTCACAGCTTGAGTGGCTGGCTGCCACGTCTGGCAAGTGACAGTCTGCTGTGGAGCAGTAGTGTAGTCACACTGGCAGCCAAACTGCCCTCCGCCCAGCTCAACCGAGCACAACGGGTAGGTAGTGCAGGAACCGAGGCACGCTTGAACCGACCGGCTAGGACCACCTAGCTCTGTGCCGACTAGGCACACTTGCTTTCCCTGGGAATTGCACGACAATATCGGACGGACGCCATCGCCTGCTTCCCTGCATGGGTAGCCTGTAGTGGAGAAACAGGACACCAATGTGGTTGCCATGGGCACACATCAGCACAATGGCGGACCGAGAGGTCTTGTGAGGACTGCGAGTTCCATGCATTGCTATCTCTACAGTGCATATGAACAATGCTGGAAAAGACTGCAAGGCAACCTTAGGGAAATTCGGTGGAAATATAAGGGGAAGACGGTGGAAACATAAGGGGAAGATGGTGGGAAAAAACAGTGGAAAGATGGCGGCAAGACGGTAGCATGCAAGACAGTGGTGAGATAGTGGTGAGACAGTGGTGAGATAGTGGTGAGATAGTGGTGAGATAGTGGTGAGATAGTGGTGAGATAGTGGTGAGATAGTGGCAGTAGGATGGCAAGAGGTTGGCTAGGTGTGTTTCACGCCTGTATGGTTGAACACATGCTAAATGTCTTAAAACCGTATTTCACCGAGTACAAGTCCCACTCGATTGTACGTGGCACCCCCCCCCCCCCTCCCCCACTGTCAGTGTAAATTGTAACATGGAAATTGTGGGCACAAGTTATGCGATCGAGTCCACCAACTAAACCAAACTTTGAACAGTCAGATGCGCACAATCTAGCACATAACTGACAAGGAGTACTGAGACATTTCCAAAGCATGAAAGTCAGCTTGAGCACTGCTCGGTAGCGCTAACCAACGGCTTTCCAACTTGGAAGGTTCATGGATATTAGTGCTAATTCCAAAGAGGAGAAGGCCACAATTTCCATGTTGCAATTAATTTTTTTTCCTTGGCTCACCATCTGAGTAGTTTCAGTGTTGAACCACATTGTGGATAAAGTCACTTCAGTAGTACGGCATGCTCGTTTGTAAGTCGCACTCCTCTTTTGCCCTTGAACTGTAATGTAAAAAAAAGAAGGTGTGACTTATCTTCGGGGAAATACGGTAACAGAGAAATCGGAGTAAGAGCAGGGAGGGTGTTGGTTGTACCGGTGCCGAGTGTGTGACTATTGCATTGCTGGGTGTGATCATTGGGGTATTGAGCACTCCACACAGACCATGCATATGCACAGTGCTGGAAACTGAAATCCGACCCCCCCCCCCCCCCCCCCCCTGAGCGGTGCGCTCACATCGCAAAGACCCAGCACGGGATTGTAAAACGACGAAATAGAGACCATTCAGGACCAGGGCCGAAACACGTAGCAGGAAACAGAAGGACTCAACTCTATCCATACTTGCTACATCACAGTAGCTAAAGTTAGTAGCTACATCTGCCGCTAGGGTTTACCGGGTGTCAGCGGCCGGCATGAGTTCCCTTCGGGAACGGATACCATATTTACTTACAAAAAACTTTTTATAAGCAACCCTAGAGTGACAGGGAGACACACAGCACGCTCCAACGTCCTTACTAAGTAGCGATGTCATGAGTGCATCCGATACGTTCCTCTGGCTGTCATCAAAGTAGCGCAGTATGGTGTTGCGCGCGTAGTGTTGTCTGCTGGGGAAGAGGCGTTCAACTTTCTCGACCAACACGGCCAGGGGACAGACTGACGTATTTGCGTTGAGCGGATTGCCGGAGAAGTCAATACGCTCTAAGTAGCCGCTGTACCTGGTATGCTTTCGTACCGTAGAGTTCACTGATCTGCATAGGAAAACACACATGCACGCACGCACGCACGCACGCAAGCACACACACACACACACACACACACACACACACACTTTTGTTCTCGAAAGGAAGTGGGCTTTCACTAGCGCTATCTGTCTGAACATGAACAAAATGATCTAGAAGAATGAAGACAATTGAAACAGGAAAACTTACTGGATAAAAAAATTGATTTGAAGTTTTTTTGGTTTGGGTTCGAAAATCTTTATTTTACACATGCATTTTTCTGATTTCTTCTCCAGTGTATTTTTTATTGCATTTTAATCCATTGTGTTAATTTTTGCCCCAAAAAGAGTCTTGTAAGGGCTAAAAAAAAACTTACTGGTTGGTAGGCCAGAAGCCATAGAAGAGATTATGGGGAAGATCTGCAATAGAGTTGTCCTTCAATGACCTGCAGGAAACAACACCAACATTATGTGATGTAAGGAGAGCACGAAGAGAGTGAGATCACATTAACCTTTTGCGTGGCCCTGACGCTGACGGTGCATGGTAAATCCCCAGATTCCTGCCACCGGTCGCCATACGCATTAGTCCCAGTATGCATTTGAAAATGACCGTATAGGCGTGAATAGAAGCTCTGGGGCTCTATTTTTCCAGAAGACACCCAGAGGGGGGGGGGCTGTATTTGAGAGGGGGCTCTATTCGAGAAGGGGCTTATCTTTTCAATAGAAACATCAATGCTACATTAATATGATGGAATTATGCACACGTTCGTTTCTGTACCGACCTACCTCCACATAAAATTTATCGTTTCTCAATTTTTACACCATGTAGAACGATGATTCAAAGTCCTGCAGATTCATGAAGCTCAAGCGATTCATTGGTCTGTACTTCGCATGCGCTGTGCAGCAATGTGAGTCACAGGCAAAATACCCTTTTGAGGCACGCCGATTTCAAAACAATTTGAAGCGTATCCATGTTTCGTTCTTCGATAGCAATACTCAGTGATTCCGCATCGCGCCATATCAAACGACATACCGCTGGAAAGCTTATTCTCTCACCTTTCCAATGAGCCATTATTGACGATCGGATAATGTACAATGGAGTTACGACAATTCAAACAGTGATGTATATGCACTGTACAAGTATGGGTTTTTACTTGACGCACATATGCGGCATCAGGAAACCAGGGTATGACGTTTTTGACGTACATGTGCAGCATCGGTCCGCAAAGGGTTAATGAGGAAGAGACATAGAGAGATAGAGAGGAAGAAATGCAGGCAGAGAAAGATGGAGAAAAGAGAGAGAGAGAGAGAGAGAGAGAGAGAGAGAGAGAGAGAGAGACAGACAGAGAGAGAGAGACAGAATAGAGAGAGAGACAGAAGAGAGAGACAGAAAGGAGACATAAAAGGAAGGAGAAACTGAGTCAGAGGAAGAGGGAAGGCGGAGGAGGATAAAGATGGTGGTGGTGAGGTGGTAGAGAAGGAAAGGAAGACAGTGAAAGAGAAAGAGAAAAAAAGATTGGCACAGGGTGAGGGAATGACCACCCTGAAAGATTCAAAAGATCACATAGATACTGCAGTTCTTCCTAAAAGCTCCTCTGTTTTGTCTCCTATTGAACACCACAACCCACCCAAGTGCACAGCTGAAACAATTTCTAAACGTATTAGTAGTAGTAGTAGTAGTAGTAGTAGTAGTAGTAGTAGTAGTAGTAGTAGTAGTAGTAGTAGTAGTAGTAGTAGTAGTAGTAGTAGTAGTAGTAGTAGTAGTAGTAGTAGTAGTAGTAGTAGTAGTAGTAGTAGTAGTAGTAGTAGTAGTAGTAGTAGTAGTAGTAGTAGTAGTAGTAGTAGTAGTAGTAGTAATAGTATTCATTATTTGACTAGGGGAGTCCCAACAGGCATGGCCTTGTTACAGGGAACCCTAGGTGAATCTTTGTGGGATGAGCAAAAGTACCAGCAGATTGTGCCTGACGCCAGTTTAGAGGAAGAGAATTCCACCGACCTACCGGCAGAAAGTCGGTGTCGTTTGACAATGTAATGCAGTGCACAGCAGTGCGAATAATATTATTACTTACAGAATGTAGAGTGATTTGTGGGCTAATAGGTCAGCTCCAAGAGTGGTGATCTGGTTACGATCAGCATAGCTGTAGTAGGAAACAACACAGAGCAGCACAACACACGTACAGTCAACTTCGCGTATAACGACACTCAGCGGGGCATCAGAAAAGTGTCCTTATTCGCGAAGTGTCGTTATACCCGAAGTCTCATTATAATTATAATTATTCCCGTAGCTATGCAGAAGACGTTACTTCAGTAACGTCTGGCGCTAGCCAGGGTCCACACAGCTTTAATTTGGTGTTTGTGTGTTTATGTTTGTGTCACGCCTGGCGCTATCCCGTATCTGTCCCGTACCGTACCGTACCATCAAACACAGCTGGCCACATCAGCTGGCCGCAATATTCAAACAGGGCTTTCAAACGGAAGATCATAACGTGAAGCAACTTGGAAGAATGAGTATGAATGCGAAGTGTATGGGGGAGTGCATGTGGGGCAATAGTGCGGGTTCGAATCCCAGGTAATGCCTAAAAAATAGGAGAATTGAAAAATTTATAACATCCCTTTTCTTTTTTGCCGTCATCAAGGCGGTAGACGGTGTCGTATTACCCTCGACCGTACCTGTCCCGTACCTGTCCCGTACCTGTCCCATACCTGTCCCGTACCTATCCCGTACCATACCGTACATTCAAAGACGGCTGGCCAAAATGCATATTCAAATAGGGCATTCAAATACAAGGTCATAACGTGAAGCAACTTGGAAGAATTAGTATGTATGCGAAGTGTATCGGGGGATGCATGCAGGGCGATAGTGCGGGTTCGAATCCCAGGTTTTGTCTAAAAACAAAAAGTAGAAACTTATAAGAATTTATAACATCCCTATGCTTTTTTTGTCTAGGTCATCAAGGCAAAAAAGCATAGCGTAGGGCCCTGAGCTTCCAAGCTCTCTCGTGTATTACAGTTGAGTGGGATTTTGCTCTGGACATGGAAATTCTGTCGTTATTCGCGAATTGTCGTTATATCCGCAGTCGTTATTAGCGAAGTTGACTGTAGCACAATATTTTAACAAGATACACAACTCACCCGCAGGCACATGGGGCTAGCATGGGCTAGCATGGGGCTAGCATGGGGTGGGATGGTGCTGGTAGGGCCTGCCATGCTCAACCGACCAGAGGTCTCGGAATCTTCGAATGGCCGGCTCACCAAATTTGCACATACAGTTGAACATCGATTATCCGCACATCGACTATCCGACCATTCGATTATCCGTAACAGTTTTTTTGGGCGCACGTGCCGTAGAGTACGCACTGTGCATGTAGTGAGCCATTCAAAAAATACGAAAATTTTGAAAAGTAAAAAGTAAAAAGGTCGTGCGGCTAGTAATAACCACTGAAAGTGTGTGAGTGACAGTTTTTTCTTATCCAGAACATTTGCCTTATCTGAACACCGCCTGACAGTTGTCTGCCCAGAGGTGGTCGGATAATCGATGTTCAACTGTAGTCCACATTCTACACCACCCATGATCCGCAAGCACCCAACAAGCGTCATCCCCCCAAACGCCCCCCCCCCCCCCCAACACCCCCAACACCCCAATACCCACCCACCGCCCACACCTCCACCATCCCCCTCACCCCCCCCCCCCACACCTACACACACCTACACACCCACATGTGTACATACAAATACACAAGCAACCAAACACGCACACAATGATTGCACAGATCACACAATGCAGGATGTACAGTTACTTTCATGAACTATAATTATTATGCGGAAGACAATAACACGCAGGCGCCAAATTTCAATGCATTGACTGCAGGGAAGGTGCTTTCGAACATCATTTCTTACAATTCTTCCAAATTGGGCATACCCTTGAGCAAATCTCCTGGAAGCTCAGCCAGATAATTGTCGCTCAAGTCCCTACAATCAGCATAGATATACACAGACACAGACACACATATACACAGACACACACACAGACACACACACACACACACAGACACACAGACACACACACACACACACATACACACACAGTACGAGCTCAGTTGTGCACACAACTTTACTAATCTAAACGTGAACATCGACATTTGAAGACAGGAAAGAAACATGACATGAGAGTGTGAAGCATGCACACATGAGAGAGAGAGAGAAATAGATTGCAACTGTCACAGTGAGCATTGGAGCAACTCTGAGCGGTAGTATCACCGGTGGCAAGAGCAGCTGGTGCGGTCGGTGCTCGGCATGAGCCCCCCCCCCCCCCACACACACACCCAATATCAATGTCCCATGACTTACAGAACACGTGTAGAGGGATTACTGGTTATGGCTCCATCGTAAAAGATACGTTCGGAGATGGATGTCAAGTTATTCTTGTTCAGTTTACTGTCAAGCAGAAACACAGTAAGCATGTTGTACAACAGCAACAGGCAAACACTTAGCAAACTAGAAAATAATGACAAAACAGTACATCGGCACGTCGTCACAACATCCCCTTTATTCTGTTTTATGTTGTTCTCCTCTAGGAGCTGAGTGGGTAATGAGTGGGTAATGATCGGGTAATGATCGGGTAATGAGTGGGTAATGAGTGGGTGATGAGTGGGTAATGAGCGGGTAATGAGCGGGTAATGAGCGGGTAATGAGTGGCGTCGTCAACTCGGCGCCTGCCGTCCAAGACTTCAAACATACATGTACCTACCCGCCAGAATCAGAGCATGGCGGCGGAGATCTTCGCACATGCTCATGCCCCCCCCCCCTCAGAATTGCTGTGATTTCCGGATGTTGTTTCATACAAATGACTAAGCTGTTATCTCCTCGTCGACTTGAAAAAGAAGAAGACGTTTGGTAGCTTTATTGTCTGCTAAAACAAACAAAGAATCGTGTGGTCAGCATGCTACGGGGTCGTTCACAGAATTTTGTTGTCATCCTGTTCGTAAAACGACTATCATTCTTTTCGTACAATAGAGAGGTTCTGCAAAACGAAAATGTGTACGAACTTTCGCTCTACGTCACGAAGTGAGAAACTTCGCACGAACTTTCGCAACTCTGGACGTGAAACTTGCAGGGAACGCGAAATGAACTTTCGTAGGACGTTTCGTGAGATTGGGTCATGGTGTACGTGCACTTGGCGCATGCAAACTACGAAAACGTGCAGATCACAAAGTTCGTGCGACAATTCGTACACATTTTTGCAAGGCCTGCCGCGAAACTTCGTTCGAATTTTCGTTGTGCAGAACCTCTCTAATGACCTCATTTTACTCTGGTGGATGAGGCAAATCCCAAGCACTTTACATTCACACCCACATGCTCAGTGTCGGTGGAAAGTGATTTCGGCTCGCACCCCCCCCCCCCCGCATTACGTTCATTTCAGGCATAAAAACAAACATTAATTTTTGCGACGACCCCTTCTCAAACAGGATAATCCTGGCCCGATGATGAGCATAAGCTCCGGGCTAGGCGTCCATTCAAACGTCGTTATTCGTGAGGTTGAATGCATGAAGTCAAATGGTCACTACAATGTGTAGGTTTTTGAGTTTTGTGTTGTAATTTGTGAGTGGGCATTATACCTGATGTCGTTGTTCATGATATTGACTGTAGTAATCATGGAGTACTAAAGGCAATGCCCAGAAGTAGTAAGATATTCACTGAGGTAAAGGTATCCAAATGCGTGGTACTCACAGAACTCGGAGCTGGGTCATCTTGTTCAAATCGAAAACACCATCCGGCAAAGTATGTATTCTATTCTGGCTGAGATCTCTGCACGAGAAGGACAGCAGAAACACACATACATGTACCTAATTATGGAGACTCCGCTCGATTTAGGCTAAGGCCGGTGGAGAACCCATAAATACAAATACGAAATACAAAGTACGAGCCAAAATTCCGTTGCCGTTAGCTACTACCCTTGAAGCTACCTAGTGCGCAGCGCGTTTGTTTACAACCATGTGTACACACACATGCACACCGGCATACGATGATTGTCCTGATCTCTTTCCTGTCCATCTCCATTTCAGTTTCAACACCACTCACAGCCTAATTCTACAAAAGTCCAAAATGATCTTTTCCTTCTGTAATGATAACTATGAAGTTGATTGTTCCAACTAGGAACACACGCTTCTTGCCAAACTTAACACTTGACTGACTCACGCCTGCCATCCGGAGCACACGAGGAGCACGTCGCACCTTCCTCTCGGCAAACCTGCAAGAAAGCACCTCTCCCTGCAGGTTTGCCGAGACGAATGTGCGACGTGCTCCTCGTGTGCTCCGGATGGCAGTCGTGAGTCAGTCAAGTGTCGAGTTCGGCAAGAAGCGTGTGTTCCTAGTTGGAACAATCAACTTCATGACTATTGCTGCCGAAGTTGCAACTTCTAAGTTCGTAATGATAACTACTTTCTATTTTCCAAATTTGGTAACATTTTGTATGGTCCATAATACACAATTTGCAAAAATGATTTCTTCGGCAGAAATTTGGCCGATTTGCTGTGTTAGGCCGGAAATGTTTTGAGCGTCCCTCGGACGTACACACAGACTGACAAACGGACAGGCAAAAAACAGATTCAGACAGCTACACAGACATACAGTTACAAAAATAGAAGACGAACCTGAACACGCACACACACACACACACACACACGTACACACACATACACGCACACACACACGCACGCACGCACACGCCAACGCGCACATGCACACACTCGCACACACACACACACACACACACGCATCCAGGGGACCGCAATTGAATTCTAACAAAAGTAAAAGGGAAAACTGGTCAAGTGACAATTTGGTCACCCCATACACATGCACAGCGTGTAAGACGTCACGTGAAAACCAAACAAGCCCAACGCACAATCATCATGTTGAGCTGACATACCGAGCTTTCCGGAATATAAGCCACACCCAGGTGTTTGTCATGACATACGGTGCGTAGAGATACAGCCATCTACCCTCACTTCATGGTTCTTTTGACCATCGTAGTAGAAGTCGCACCGCACCGGCTTTTCGTGTGGGCGTATTACGAGTATTTAAATTGCGGCTAATACTCCAGAAGATACGGTGCCCCCAGACAGTACAGGCAGCAATGATCAGTTGCTATGGAGACGCAGGACAGCTGCAGACAGCAGGTGTTCAAGTATGCATGCACATACTATCTTCCAACTTATGCATCGCTCTCTACTCTTCGTAGTGCGAGCACTCTGGCGCTAGAACGATGAGCTATCATAAAATGTCTGTGGTGCCACCTTTGCACCGTGGTCGGTAGTTTTGCTCATCTAAAGCTCGTAGCTGTACTGATGAGGCCTCGATGGCCGAAGCATCTTGCTGTCTACAGCATTGGGTATCTCGCTCCTCGACATGCGTCTTGTTGAGCACTCTCGGTGCGCTGCTTTAGTGCTGCTGCATTACGCATCGCTCACTTCCTTTCGTAGTTTGAGCAGTCTGGCGCTAGAGCAACGCGCTATCTTAAAAAAATAATGTCTTTGGCACCACTTTTGTACCATGGCCGGCAATCAGGCTCACCTAACAGTTCTTAGCTGTACTGATGAGTGCTAAATGGCCGAAACAGCTTGCTGTCTACAGCATTTTGTATTTCCAGTGTCTGCTCCAGCGCCGGGTGAGCCAGGTAATCCACCCGGTTGGGCGGCGCTTGGACCCGATTGAAAATATAGAACCGGGTCACCTGTGACCCGGTTGGTACTTTACACTTTCGAACTTTGAAAGGACTGACTACATGGCTTGTATCAAGAGTACATGGTTTTCATGTACTCTTGCTTGTATGTGTCAGATACTTCTTCTTCTTTCGTAATTTTCTAATTCCTGTCCTCTCTTTTCTAAATGCGGATTATCCATTCGCCTTTATATCATTGGGCCTAGTTCCCGTTTATTGTCCGAATTAAAATAAACCAACCAACCAGGTACATGTGTACCCGGCTCTGACCCGGTTGAAATGGGTGCGCCAGGTACACGTGTACCCGGCTGTGCTACAATCCTAGAGCAGACACTGATCTCCCAACAACTTACACTGTTTCCAGAGTAGATATATTATGAAGCATAGTGGCTGGTAGGGTGGATAAATTATTACCTGACAGATATCTGCACGAATAGTGGTGATAAACAGAACAGAGAAATCATCAGGGAAATACGTCTCATATAATTTCGTTCATCTTTCTGTGAGAGCCAGACCTATGGGACGGTGAGAAGGCAAGCATGCCTGTGCAATTGGTGAAGTACAGTAGAAGTCAACAACAACAAATATGCCTCAATGAAGTTTAGCAATAAACAACAATATTGTATACGAAATTTATCTCGGATACTGAGCCAGTAATAAAGTTAATGTAGACAAGTTGTAAACGAGTTGTGCAGCAACTATCCACGACTGTAACAAGATAATAAACAGTCAGAAAGTGCGATAATAGGGCACAAAACTGACAGGCTACTGAGACATTCAGTGACCCGAGACCTAGCTCTAACACATCTCCAGTGCGCAAACCAACTGCCTTCCAACTTGGAAGGTTCAAGGTTATGGTAGGACCAATGAGGGGAAGGTGAGCGCAGCGAAATGTGCTCAAGCTAAGCCCTACGGCAACAAAAGGTGGGGCTAGTCCAACACACACTCTACAATGACTGGGTGACAGATCAGAGGTGGGCGTATAATTAGACCAGGCTGAATAAGTCCGGGCTTATTTTTCTCCTATAAATGGTCCCTCAGTGGCGGACTGGGGAACTGGGTTGGCTAGAGTGGGTCGGAGGAGAGGGGAGGGGGGGGGGGGCTGGTTAGAGTAGGTTAGGGGAATGGAGAGGAGTGCTGGGGAGGGGTGAGGATAGGGCTTGGGGCCATGAGTTATATGTACATGGAGAGGGTAGGGGTGGGGTAGGGGTGACGCGAAAGGGGGGGGGGGGGGGTAGGGGTGATGGGAGGCGAGAGGGGGGGGGGGGGGGGGTAAAACCAGTTATCATGCTCAATCGCCGTCATGACATGTACGAGAATAATGCGCTTACTAGAAATAACTTCCTGATCAATAGTCCCAGGAAAACCAGCCACTCTCGTTGGTTTTGCTGGCGCTCAAAGGACATCCTTTTGAAATGGACGATAGCATGCTCGTTTGAGTCCACGGCAAAATCCCCTACCAGCCGGTCATGTGTGTTCAAAGTACTAGCAGAAAGGAATATACCGAATATTCGAATGTTCGTTTGGTTTGGTACATTCGAACGAATATTTCTCATGGCGAATATTCGTTAACCCGGTGTCCAGAGTTTACCGGGCGAGTGTAGAGGTCTATACTTTCGAAATACAGTACAGTGGCTAGCGGCACTACAGTCCGTACATGATCCAATACGCGTGGACACACGCACGCTCGGAGGCGGAAGTTACCCAGTCAAGCACAGACAGACACGTGGAAAGCACCTGTGAGCACTTACAAATCTTCCAATTCTATGAACCTGCCCAAGACGATGAGTGAGCCTGCGCTAATAGCATTGTTTGCCAGGTTACTGAACAGACAAAAGCATACAATCAGCAACACATGGGTTTGCCAATGGTGATTATAAAGAACATGTGCACACACACACACGCACACACACACACACACACACACACACACACACACACACACACACACACACACACACACACACACACACACACACACACACACACACATACACACACACATGCACATGCACAAACACACACACACACACACACACACACACACACACACACACACACACATGCCTACGCACGCATGCACGCACGCACGCACACACACACACACACACACACACACACATGCATACCCATGCACACACGCATGAACACACACACGCACGTACGCACACACACACACACACACACACACACACACACACGAAGACGGCATCATCAATGGTGACAGCCCTACGGCAAAGGATGCAGTAAACGAGGTGTGTGTGTGTGCGTGCGCGCGCGCGTGTGTGTGTGTGTGTGTGTGTCAGCTAGTTCGGTTCGTGGGTAAACTTATGCCGGATAGTGTTGGGTCTGTTGCCAACGGGCTCGGCTGCTTGAAGGCGTAATGTTGTACCTACCACCTTTGTTGGTTTCAGGGTTCATATACTTTCTATTTTAAGTATACATACCTGTTAACCATGGACTACTTCAGGCTAGATTACACTCGTGTGTGATCATGTTGCTAGTGAAGCTTATATCAGATCCACTCTGATTTAGCACCCACACTAGTAGTAGCAAGTATTACCTTCACTGGGGCAGGGGTAACTGCAGTTGGATCCCGGGACGGATACCCTGATGCCGTCAATCCTTTTTCTGCACCTTGTCCTCACCCACTGACTGAGGTGTGGGGAGCCCATAAGTGGGATCATTTTCAAGTCCACCCAGAGTTTTGGGGATTTCAGGGGGTGTCGGCCGTTGGGCGGTTCAATAGCCAATTGAGTCATCTTTCCAAGATTTCTTTTGAGTCTCTCTCCCCTCTCCCGGGGAGACCCACGTGACCAGTTTTGGCAGTGAGCATCAAGTACAAGTACAAGTGTGTGTGTGTGTATGCGTGCGTGCGTGCATGTGTGTGTGTGTGTGTGTGTGTGTGTGTGTGTGCATCCTCCAGCCTGGGTGCACGTCGTTGTGTTGCCGTCGGACTGCTCAGATCCTGTTTAGAATTTGTTTAGAAGTCTCCATCGACTCACTCGATGTGGTGACGCTCCATCGTTTCCAGTTTCAAGTACCTTTTTTTCCTTTTAGGCCACACCGTTTTTTATCTATGTTTCACGTCCCCGCGCGCGTGTATTTCACAGCCGGAGTTCCAAAAAACAACAAAAACGGAACATGATTGTTATATGGCAACTATTATGTTGGCATCATTGTTTTGTTCTATTTATCGCATGATTGTACTCAGCTCACATGTATACATGTGCATGTACCTGTGTGTGTGTGTAAGCTGGGTCGCAAGTCACGCTATCGTGGCTATCATTATGCCGCCTGTGTTTGGACCACAAGCATGGTGGAGGCGTGGCTTCCCATCCAGCTGATAATGCTGACACAGTTTGGCCAGTTGTTACCAATCAGTAGAGTTTGCATCGTGCAATAAACTTACTTTGCGACATTCATTGTATTGAAATAAATCCACGCCGGCGCCGGGCGGGTCCGTTGCTCCACTCACTCCACTGTACACAAATACAATGCCCGTACACTTTTTTTTTGGATGGCTTTTTATTTTTTTCGCCCTCCCTCATTTATTTCATCGAATAAGGTGACGCGAAACATAGAAAAATAACGGTGTGGCCTTACATGTATTCATGGTTTGTGTCGAGCGTTGTAGAGCTCCGCCGGCATGCCCAACCGATCATGTGGAACAGCTGTCGCCCAGCAGTGTGACATGCTTCTGAGTGATTTTAAATTACTACTGTTCTCCCATTATTTCTTGTAGCTCCTCTTTTCCCACTTTTAGTTCCTGGTGTAACTGCGATGTTTGCGTCAGTCTGTGTCTCTTTCTGTGCGTGTTTTTGCGTCTCTGTGAGTTTTTGTAGTCCCATTCGGCGACGTGATGGTGTTCCGGACAGCTCCAGTGTGAGTCCTGTGCTACCAGATGACTGGTCACCCGGTTCAGCTGCCGCGGTCCCAGCAGTCCAGGAGTGCCGTCGCTTTGCCTAGGCTTCACACCGGGGCAAGGTGGTCATTCCGGGGCCCACGCCTGGAAGTATGGCGGTTCCCTCTATCGGTGGGCCCGGTCTGTTTTCACACCTTTGCCTTGGCCCGTTGTTTGGAGTTGAAGTTCTCAGCTCTTCAACAATTTTGGATCTGCATGCTTTGTTTAAATTGTTTTGTACTCACCAGTTCATGTTCTTTATATTGTGGAAATTGCTTTCGTCTTGTTGTTGTATACTTTATTTATAGTGGAAATCAAAACAGGCATAATGCCTAATAACATTGGACCCACTGTGAATAAAATTTAAAGGACATTGTGGAAATTGCTTTCGTCTTCCTGCCTTTTTCTTCTGTCGGTCTTCTGGTTTTGTTTTTCCTCTACCCCATCCCCATAAGAGGATGCATCTTTTCGGTGTGGGCGTGTGTTGTGCGCCCCCTTTTGGGTGCATTTATTACGTGTGGCGTTGTGTCCGTACAGACTGCGCGCGGACTGAGCAGGTTGCGCCACAGCGCGCATGCGTGTAGTCTACGCACTCTTGTTTCTTCTTCTCTCGCCTTCTTCCTGAGACTAGACTTGGTGAAGGAACAATTAATCAGTGTCTGTGTGGTGTATAGACTAGAGTAATCAGAAGGGCATATCGACGGCTACCACCCCCCCCCCCCAATGACGTGTGTGTGTGTGTGTGTTTGTGTGTGTGTGTATGTGCGTGCGTGCGTGTGTGTATGTGCGTGTGTGTGAGCATGCACGTGTGCAATGTCATGTACACATGCTGTAACGTGTATACATGTGCAAGAATAGAAAGCAGACAACAAAAAATAACAGAGTAGACTCGACTCACAGCACATTCAGCTTGTTGGGGGCATTTCTCAGGAAATTTACATCCTGCAGGCCAGTCTCTGCCATGTGTCTGGAAATAGTCAGAGAGACACACACACAGACATACGCACGCACGCACGCACATACACACACACACACACACACACACACACACACGCACACACACACACACACATACACGCACGCACGCACATCCACACACACAGACACACGGGCACACGGGCACACACACACACACATACAAGTACACATACATACACACACGCGCACAAAACACACACATACACACACACACACACACACACACACCATTGGACCATTGGACGCCGATTGCCGAAGGCGATGATAGCGATGCTACAGCAGAAGCCATAGCAGCTTGTGCTCGGATTGCACCATTCAACAACTTGCAAGGCTGAAGAATTGACCGCCACTATTCAGCCTGGTCTACACCACACAGCTATGAAGTGTTTTTTTTTTTTCTTTTTTCTGGCCAGTGAATCCCTACTTTTTGGTCTTTTTTCATTATTTCCGCACACACATCACACCACATACTCCGGCATACTTCTCACACAGGGATCCCTAATAGGCGGTTCAGACTACGGCCAAAATCAGGTCTGAACTTGACTTACGATGGTGATGCAGTCGTGTTTCAAATGACAAATGTACAATCGACTCGGGTAGAGAGCCAAGAAGAAATTTATACTAAAGAAGAAAAATGACCAAGAAACTACAAGTTACGCTATAATGTCCACTAACACCACCAGTTACTACACAATCAGCTCATGCGATAACATTGCACGACACTGACCGACGATACTGACTTTCTACAACTAACTAGGCTGTTGGAGTGGGCATCCGAGATGTGCTGGAGCTGTTAGCCAGTTAGTTGTAGAAAGTCAGTACCGTCGGTCAGTGTCGTGCAATGTTATCGCATGAGCTGATTGTGTAGTAACTGGTGGTGTTAGTGGACAGTATAGCGTAACTTGTAGTTTCTTGGTCCTTTTTTTCTTTACTATAAATTTATCCTTGGCTCTCCACCCGAGTCGATTGTACATTTGTCATTTGAAACACGACTGCATCACCATGGTAAGTCAAGTTCAGACCTGATTTTGGCCGTAGTCTGAATCGCCTATTAGGGATCCCTGTGTGAGAACATGATAATTTCAATGCAACACTCTTCAAACCGGTTGACACTTGACCAAATGATGTAGGCTGGCTGGTGCGCAAGAGAAGCACTTTGAACCTTCCTGAATGTCATCTCGAGTAGGCCAAATGTCGTCTTGACCTACCGACGAACTTCTCCTCAACG